TGCACTTGACTGTTTCTGTAGGTACTAATGGGCACTAAAAATATATCTTAGAAACCCAAGATACAACATCGTAAAAATTTGATCATCTACATGCTGGGCGCTGTGATAACAGAGTTTTAAGGTGGCACTACTGACAAGATAGAATATGCGTAAGTTTTCCATCTTGTTAAATTAAAAAAAAAGTGGTTTATTGTACCTATAACATACCCAAATATCGTAATTAATGAGTGATGGTCAAAGAGAGACTTTTTGACAATTTTGTTGCCCATTGAAAAATGTCATCTGAATCAACCAAATATACCCCAATGAATATATTTTTAAATATTTGTAGTTGTCAATATCGATTTTAAATAAATATTTAGCTACCTATAATAAACATTTCTTATCTATACTTATTTTGTTTGGATAGGTGGTTAGTTAATTAAAATGCAAATCAAAATATACCTACAATAAACAAATGTTATTTAAACGTTAAGTGCCTTGTTAAATACAATTAAAAATAAGCTTCAATTTCCAGATTTTAATCATTTCCTTTGTAAATGTTAATGTATCAATATCTATATACTGTAAATAACTTATTTGAAATATAGATGTATTAAATGGGTTGATAATTAAATACGATTACTATGTTTACCTGTTGTAAAAATATTTATAACCCTAAACCTCTTGATTGCATTTATTTGAATCTGTCTTATGATTTTTACAATAATATAAATAACATTAGTCAAAGGGAAATCATAAAGACTAGCAGAAAATTAAAAAACACAAGTATTAGAAATTAAAAATTTAAAAAAACCGACTTCAAAAACGTGCAGATGCCATCACCACATCTTAACCAAATTTATATGAGACCACCCCTGAGGTACCCCCTTACTAACAAAAAAAGAATCATATGAATCGGATAAGGTGGTAAAGCATTATCGCTAAACATACATAAAAAATGAAGAGTTTGAGGATTTTCTCATGGACCCAATTATTAGATTTTGACTAAATTTATATGGGACCACCCCTGAAGTACCCCCTTTCTAACAAAAAAAGAATCATTGAAATCGGACACCGTGTTAAAGAATAATCGCTGAACATACATAAAAAAAAAATATCGCGACGAATTGATAACCTCCTCCTTTTTCGAAGTCGGTTAAAAATGACTTTCGAATCTGATATACTCGTAACATCATTTTTTGTTAATTACTGTAATTATGTGTTATCCCATAAAATTATTCTTTAATTTAGCTTAAGAGTCATTAACTTTTCCAGAAAAATGAAAAAAATCAGTATTGTTTCGATTTTTAAATCTAGTGATAAGTCACTAATCAACAACTATCGTCCCATGTCCATTTTATTAAAGTTTTTGAAATTTTTTTGATGTGGTTCTCCATAATCGTCTCTATACCGTATATATTTGCTCCTAATAAAAAATTAAAGAAACGCTAGAAATAGAAACGTATGCGTATATTTCTGACGTAAAGGTAGAAATTCACGATACATTAAACTTACAATCTGGAAGAAAATAATTAGGCATTCAATGACCTGTCAAAATGCTGAACTGACAGTTTAGATATGGCAACCATGTGTGCCTGTTGTCATTAACAGGGCCAATGATATATTATATAGTTATATAGATTGCTCAAAGCGGGTCGTTTGCGAGCGGCCATATTGCCTGGCAAGTGCTAATTAATTTGAGTCGGTTTAGCAAAAATGTATTTTAAAAGCAATTTTCGGCCTTTGAATTTGGTAAAAAAATCATTATCTACATTTTTACTTCAAGGTATAAGCTTATGTTTATTTTTAAAAACATTGAAGATTAATTTATATAACTATCTATTTCATTGATCCTCCTGTCAAATCTCCAGACCCGCAGTGTTGCCATATCATAACCTAGCATGTGCCTGTCACTGGCCTGTCATTACCTACAAGCAACCATTTTGTTTGGAATGCCTAATAGTTAAAGCAAAAACATTGATGTAAACTATCTACAACTTTAAAACCTTGGGTACTTTTTGAGAAAAATATTGATGTTATATTGAGTAAATTTTAAATTTAGGGGCTTTAAATGAAGATGTAGTATTACAAATTCTACATAATAAAGAAAATTATCAAAATGGGATGTTTTATGTTATGGAAGATTCAATTTTAATAATTTGTGTGATTTAAAAATGACATAATTATAATTAGGCTTGTTAGAGCTCTTGGCTTGCCAGATATGATTATAACAATGATCGAGTTCTATCAATTCATTTTTTTCAATGAACTTTCTCATTTAACACTTTTCTAGTAATTGAATAAAACATTTTTCTAGGAATAAATGTGGTGTGTTATTATTTAAATTACAAATAATGAAATTTGTTTCGTATTATGGCTCGGAATTTTAAAAAGAGAACAATATAAAGTTACAATCTGTCATTAGTTACATTAAATCGAGTGCGATCGGATGCTCCCGAAGCATTTGCTCGGCCCGATACGAATGCGTATTAGACATACGTAGGAACACGTACGTTTACGTCATACGTAAATAAATACGAGGGAAAAATATCTGTTACGCATGCATAGCTGTCATTAGATACGTTTACGTATACATTTCTGGCGTTGCTTTAATTCTCTAATGTCACCTTCGCAAAAAATCAACCGAGACCAATTTGCTTGCAATAACCAAGCAATTAACTGAAGTAGACACTGGAGGATATAAATGGATGTGATATACTTCTTTTTGAAAGTAGACAGAATGGATCACGTAATTAGGCATTCCAAACAAAATGGCTGCCCGTTTAAAATGACAGGCCACTGACAGATTATAATATGGCAATACTGTAAGCCTGGTGTTTTGATAGGGTCAATGATATTCGCTGTGTGCATTTGGCTTGGAGGGGATAGATTGAGCTATCGCAGCGCCTATGGTGGCAGGAGTCGGCGATTGTCCACATCATCGTAGTAGCGCGGCAGCGTGTTGTGGGTCTCGTGTTGGGTATTAAAATGAGTCTTCGTTATTGTAGTGTTGTCGAGTGTAAAAACACTAGCAAAAATAGTGCGTGTAAGTTTTATACGTTTCCAACCGCATCACATAAATTGGAGCAAAGAAAGAAATGGATAGCAGCTGTGAAAAGAAAAAAGTGAGTAACATAACCTCTGTCGTATATACAGGGTGTTAAAAAAAAAAGTGTCACAAAATAAAACGGGGGGTAGTATGGGCCAAAATATGCAGAAAAGTCTTAATAAACATATGTCCGCAAATGAATGGTTTCAGAGATACGGAGTGTTTTGCTTTTCTTATCGGAGTCTACCGATGTTTTTTCATAGATACTATTTGCAGTTATTATTTTGTTGTGGGTGAATAATTTTATAAATTTTCGTTATGCCTGTTTACACTAATATTGAATTAGCTGACATGCATTTTATGTACGGTCGTGCAAATGGCAATGCATTGAAATGGAGGGAGGGCACTTTGAACATCTCATTTAACTTTATGTTGTTATTGATTGTTTATAAATATCATTGTTTTTTTATAATAATAAAAAATTGTTATAAACACAAAATGGTCCGTATCTCCGAAACCGTTAATTTGCGGTCATATATTTATTAAGACTTTTCTGCTTATTTTGGGTCATACTATTCACCATTTCATTTTGTGACACTTTTTTTTTAACACCCTGTATATCATTAACATCGAAAGTAGGAGCGGCATTTGAATGCTCAAGTAATAGTGATAAATAAATTATTTATAACGTAATAGATTTAATGGTTTTTCGACATTTATGACATGCCCAGCTTCTACCAAATCTTTACCTTTTCTTGGCGTTTCAGGCTGAAAGTTTATGTCACGAGATATTTTCTCAAATCCAGTGTACAAGATGACACTCATGACAAAAATGTAGCATCTAAAAATACAGACAAATTACATTAATTTATGACATTCAAAACGCATAACATCCAAATATTTTTATGTCATTTACTTACTTTTTGTGCGACAGAAACAATTTTTGTTAGTCTATCAACTAACAGCGAACACAAAACTTGTTGCAACACTTAATTGTTGAAAAAGAATTTTCAAGTTCAACTGTTGAGTGTGAGGTGTATAGCAAGTATGCGGGAATGAATGAGGAGAACTGTCGCTATCCCGTCACCAGAGAGCGCTACCAGTCTTGCACATAGCGAATAGACAGTTATATAAATTGATCATCTATGTTTTTTAAAATAAACACAAGCTTATGCCTTAGTACTTAGTTGCGTTGGTCTCTCTGTAGATAAAATTACAAATAAGTATAAAATTTATCTTTTTGTGCACTTGGAGACATTCGTCATCTGCAAATAAGTTTGTAGTTTCTATCTAAAGATAGTTAAATCAACGTCGAATTGATATTATACTGACGTCAAATCTCCCTAGAGAAGTATTACTTACCAGAGGTACTGGGCTACTACAATGTGGATTTAGATGTAATTCTACCTATTTTGGTCAATAAAACCAAATTTTGACGTCGTCTTATTCTCCATTTATGTCGAATCCACGTCGAGACAATGTAAATTTTACTTAGATATGGTTAAATCTAATTTATTATACATGTTTTAGATAGTCTGGACGTTAAATTAAACCAAAATGTTTGTTGGGCATTACATACTTAAGTTAAATACAGTATTAGTAGATAATTCTACAATTTAAATAAAATATAAGGTGTTCCGTTTAATTTTAAACTACGTCTTTTTGTATCCATTTAATGTAATACGCACTAAATGGACACCTGGTATATTGTTGATATTCGGAATGAGTTAATATCCACTGTAGAGGTAGCGAGAAAGCCGTATGGGCACTGTCATTAATGATAATAATATTTAAAATTAACTGTAGTCACTTAATTCGTAAAATTTTCTTATTTCCAAAACGAAATCGGACATTTTATTCAACAATACAATTTAAGAAAGAGAAAATTCTTAGTTTGTACATTTTTGGATTTAGGCGAATCTTAAAATGATAGGTATTTTAGAATATATTAAAATTTGATAAAACTCACCTATTCAAACTATCGTTACTTGGCATAACAATTACATTTATGTGCAAGTAATAAAAGAGTTTTCGCACACACCTAACATTTAACTTATCTACAGACTAAAACATTTTTTAAATGATTTAAAATGAATATTTAAAATTGCTTTCGAATATTTTTAATAATAATATTAAGGCTTATACATTTATATTGCCGATCATGTTTGATAAACACTTTGTTTTTAACTATCAACGAGTTCATGTGTGTATTTATTTGTCACCTACGTTTTTGGCATTTTGTGCCAAATTTAAAAATAACATTTCGAACTAGTGATTCCATAATGTATGTTGGGTTTTATAACCAGGAAGGATTTTTGTTAAACTATCTCTTAATCGAAGGGTAATTTGTTGGGTTAAAATGTTGTACATGGTAAATTAATACTACACATAGATCGCAAATGGTACACAAAGTACACAGAGTAAGTACACCTTGCTTGTATGCAGGCTGCGGTTTACTCTTCGCGTGTAGATGCTTTTGTAATAAAATAATACGGCAAATAATAATGGCCGTCCCTATTCCCGCACATTTAGGCTTCTAGGGTATAAATTTACTCATAAACTGTAAGAAGAGTACTATTATTATTATTATTATTATTATTACAAAAAACAATTTTCAAATCCTTTATTATTTAAATAATTTATTTAGCGAGTAAGTTGCTAACTTAACTAATAGATTTTTCGCGAGGACAGTTCATCTCTGTTCTGTTGTGTTTAATAGGTTTAATAGACTTAATTTGTTATTTATTATTGAGACGTGGTACTACTGTTTCGTTTAAATTAAATAATGTAAATATAGTAAATAATAATTTATACATGCTACTTAGAGATACTTACGTGGAGGGTATAAATCAAATTATTTGAATACGATTATGATGTTTATTTTCACAGTTCTGTCATTTGTAAAGAAAGCATAGAGTTTTGTTTATTTAAATGGTAATTTCTTAGAACTTGCAATGCTCAAAATAGTGCTTTAATTTGCGTTTTATATATGAATTTACTTATTCAACGATACCAAAAAGTTAGCTTATTATACAATACACAATTGCTCGATATTTAAATTTGTGATAAATAAAAGTTGGCTGAATCTTGCAAAACATCCAATGTCTTTAACTCTCGAATATGTGGGGTAGTCCATGTTCTACATTTTTTGTTTTTAGTTTTGTAAAATGAGGTAGACTTTTGTTTTTTTCAGTCCAGTTATCAAAATTGATTCATAAGAAACACAAAAAAAAGATAAAAACAAACATATTCACGTCCAGGTCCGGATTTTATTTTTTTTTTTTTAATTAAAAATAAACTAAATTGTATTTTATTTCAAGTTTAAAATTAATGCAAAAATACAATGAAGTAAAATCAAATAAAAATATAAATTGACAAAATATTTGACTAGTTTTAAACCATAAAACAGTCAGTATGATTGTTTTATGATTCAAAACTATTCAAAATAAACCAATTTATTTTTTTTTGTTCGATTTTCATCATCACATTTTTGCCTAGATAGCAGAAAGTTAAATTTCAAAAAGCCCGCCCCTGTCGGCCATATTAAATTTAGTACCACTCCAATTTGATAGATGTCAGCACATCGCCTCAAAATTTTAGCATTGAGTTTCCCATCTATTCATATTCCCCTGATCTATGGTGTCTGTTCATTGCGTTACTTTTGATTTTAGTGCATTCTTATGGGATGAAAAATTGTTATGTACTGTAAAGTGTAGTACTTCATTTGAAATCTATTTATTAATTTATTAAACGTTGGCATATTTCTAAGGTGAGTACGCTACCCCCAAATATAAGAAATGTCCTCGAATCCTCTTGTATTTCAAACAGAGGTAAGGATCTTTAACGAACACAATGGGTGCTATGATTGAACGTTTACGTTATTTGTAACGTACATGTTAGGCCGAGTTTTAACAGTAATGAGGCAAGTTTGTATGATGGAAAACTTTTTCCAACACGTTACTGTTATTTTCCGCCTGTTATCTTCTAATTTAACAGTTTTCCATCATCCGAACTTGCCTCGTTACTTTTAAAATTCGGCCTAACATGTACGTTACGGATAACGTAAACGTTCAATCATAGCACCCAATATCTATAGACTTGGGACGTAAGATAGCATACCTCACGCTATACCTCGTACTTATTGATATAACACCGCTGCCAGCTGTGGTATGCAACTACGCCGGCACTGCCGTCAGTTCTTAGGTACGCCGCCTTTCTTTAAAATGGTCACTCATTCTATTACTAAGGACTCCCGATCTTGCTTAACTGCTAATTTTATTAGTAATTTAATGGCGTAGTATAAATTTTTTGTATTAGTTGATTGCGAATAAAGTTTTTTAATTATGTTTTGTTATGTTGTGCATTAATTATTAACAAAAATAGCTTTCAAATGAAGTGATACACTATATATTACATAAATTGGTCTAACCGCCCTATTTTTGATTCCAAAATATCTAGTAAAATAGTTATCGACTTTTCTTTTTCACACTATGTATATATTTATAGGTACAGGTAGGTAGGAAAGAAGTTAGGTTGGATGCAAGCGAACCTTAAAAAGCAAAATTATAAAATATTGATATTCTAGTCACACCTATTTATTTTAAACAAAACTCCTAATATTATTTTAATGGATATTGAATATTTATTTTAGAAGGTGGTTTCATAAACTTACATTTTTTCTGTTAAATTTAGTTTTGCTATTACTGCCACTATTACTATTGATATTTATCACTAAAGGATCACTTAAATTTTCAATGACGACTGTCATTCGTTAAGTAATTTTTTTAAATTATTTTTTTTTTTTCATATTAAATTTTATCTACCACTTTAATAATTTATTGTAATGGACCGAGCAATATTATCAATATTCACTTATCACTATCAGTAGTAATATCCCAAGGACAGTGATAATCGGGAAATAATTTTTTTATTGTCGTAATAAAAAGATTTATTTGATCAGAAAATTTTTATCAATTTATTTATTTTTTTTAGTAACGCGAAATTTCTTTTATGCATGTTTTACCCATTGATACAATAATTTTTTTCCGAATTATAACCATTGGTAAAATAAAAATCAATTTAAAAAATCTGATGTGTCCAACACATGTCTTTCCCATATAGTTATGGCAGCCTTTTTCATAACCTATTGTATCACTCTGTAAATGTTTACAGGATGAATTAAATACATAAATTTTTTACCACACATTTTAATCGAAACTTTTTTATATGCCTATGTATATACAGTGTGACAATTTAAAAACTTACAGTGTGCTATATCTCGGAAACGAAAGCTATCAAAAAATGCTTAACACCTTTTCTAGGATAGGGAGGGGGAACTAAAATGGCATAAAAGAGAACTCACAAATTTCATTAAAACTTGTACTATTTCCAATTACGGACCTGTTGGCACCAAAGCGCAAACTCACAAAACCTCAGCTTTATTCCCTTATTTTATTTCTGTGATTTAAATTCAAGAATATTTAGGTTAAATACTCTGTTATATATAACAAAATATAAGAATATTTATGCCAAATATAAGAATATTTATGCTAAATATAAGAATATTTAGGTTAGTTTGAGTTGCTAATTCCATAACCCACTTATCGTAAATCGTACATTTTACTTACATGATAACAATCAAACGATACCTACAAATTCGTTGCAGTAATTGCACATAGATTAAGTAATTAAATCAATTTATACTGTTCGCGAATACATAGCATGTTTTTCTTTTGAGATTTCATCGTTAAAAATTTGTGTTTATAATGCTAATTTTTTGCTCCACTATAATGTAATTCATTTTTAAAACTAGATTATCAGACGTGAATAAGTGTAGGAATGCGTGATTAATTTTACACTATCACAACAAGGTTTTATAGATATTGTATCAAGTTTTTGTTAGTGAAAAGTTATTTTGTTATTAAAATCATTCTCAATTTTTTATTTACTTAATTGTAAGGACAGAAACATAATGGAGCCTAGAGCATAAAAACTTTATTTAATAAGTTTTAAACAAATTTATTAAGATACTGTATAAAGTAACTTATCATCTTTAATTTTTTCACCTAACAATTTGAGCCGGCTGAAGAGCTCGGATAATTAAATAAAATAATTTCATAAAATGCTCCATTGGCCTTTTTGTAGTTGGATATAAAACCTCAATTTAGAAGTATTAATTAGCATACAAAAAATTACCTAATTTAACTTTCAAAATTAAAATTATAATATATTTTAAAATAACTTACCACGCCATCATGCTTAAAAACAACAAAACATTTTCAATAATAAATACACGTAAAAATATGTCTAATAAAACTTAACTGTACCTGTGCATGAAAAACCTATTTAAACCATTCAAAACGAAACATCAAGCAACAACAGCCAACTATAACGTTGCAGATACAGTACAAGGGTGCATTTTTAATCCATACCTGTTATTAGGGATGTTGTGATATCAGTAAAGCATCGATACCGATATTGAAAAGAGTATCGATACCGATATCGAGAAGAGTGTAGACAAAAAAAAAATCGTAGGGTATCCTATAATATACTTTTTGTACCTATGTATTGTAATATCAAAACTAGTCATATATTGAAACGAAAGTAGGTAGTAGTATGGAAACAAAGGTAGTATCGATATGGGTAAAGTATCGAATGCAAAGTATCGGGTACTAAATTACCCGGTATCGAAACAAAAGTATCGATACCAGAGTATTATATCAGTAGTTTAACAACATCCCTACCTGTTATAAATTCAGACTGCAACCAATCCAGGAAGCTGTCACGCGGTGGACATTCATTACTTAATATTTATACTTGCCGCGTTTGAGAATCCACATCGGATGCATCTGAGATGTAAAAAATCTTTGATCACGTGATTCAGTATACGTAAATGTAATGGGATAGAAGTGTCCGATGTGGATAAAAAAACGCTCGAGATGTAAAAAATGCATCCGATGTGGATTCTCAAACGCAGCAACTGTATCTACTATAGAAATATGGACAATTTTTCATGTTTTTACTATAATTAGACGGTATTAGATAATAACATATTTATTTTCAACAGGTATATACCCAATAAAATAAAATAATACATAATACAATAAACATGAACAGTACTTAGTATAAACGTATAAACAAAAGCTTAATTAATAAGAACTCATAAATAAAACAAT